TAATCCTTGAGACAGTGTGGTTTGGTTTGGTTTGGTTTATTTTTCTGTTTGTTAAATCAAAAGATGGAAGAAGAATTGGGTTTCATTCTAACCTAACTAAGTCCCTCTCAGACAAACGAGTAGTCAAGAGAGGGACTTATAGCTTATCCATTGTCCTACACAAAGTGGTTCTGGAACTTTTCCATGAAAGTTCCAGAACGATTTTCCACGAAGCCACAAAAGAAAATTTTGGCTGTGTTCTGGCTTTGTGGGCTCGTGGAAAAAAAAACTATTTGAATGCCCTTCATGTTTGGCGTGTGAGCCTGTGGACCTCTGGCTGGAGCGTTTTTCAAACTAACACACTGCATTATCTTGCTTACAAAAATCCCCCGGAGCCAAGAAATGAATTATTCTGTGAATCCTTCTACATACACGGGCTTTTGTAGATAGAGACTTACCCCCAGGAAGGTCATCAAAACATTGCTTGAAAAACTCCTCTTTCCTGTAAACTTTGAGTGTGGTTGAGAGTTTCTCGAATGACAGGAGTAAATGGCTCTCTGAAACCTCTGCAGTGAATCACAGAGGATGGAATTTATCCAAAACATTGAGCTTGAATAGATTGATAGCCATTTGGTTTGGCATGCTGATACCGGCACAGGTTTATGTAGGATGATTCACAGCACAAATTGTTTCTTGGCTCCAGGGGAGTTTTGTAAACAAGATAATGCAGTGTCTTGATTTGAAAATTGCCCCAGCCAAAGGTCCACAGGCTCACACGCCAAATTTCGTGGATAAGCTGTAAGTCCCTCTCTTGACTACTCGTTTGTCCGAGAGGGACTTAGTTAGGTTAGGGTTTCATTTGTGTGGGAGTAAGTTTTGAAAATAGAAGACAAGGTGATTTAAATTGACATTTTTCAACAAAAACTTCATGAGAATCAGATCTAGAAACCTGTGGCAATAAGGATTTGATATCATTTTTGAATGAGGAATCAAATGCTTTTAAATTTTCTTTTGATCCAAATCAACTGATTTCTCAGATGTTGGAAAAATTGAATGTTTTTCCAAAGTAATCCTTTCAAAACATCTTACTCAATCTCAACAAAAAACATCATGTCTTTGTATTCTATTTGTGGACAGGTTGGGAGACTTTGAGGAGGGATTTGAAGGGGTCACTGTGTGTGCATTATGCTTGTTGAGGAGTGTACCCAGTTCAGACAAGGTGAATGTGATTGAATACTCCCTCTTCCTTATCAATCTTCAACTCTGGGTTCTTTGTTGACATAGTGTTGTGGCTTATTATTCAAATCAGTGATATTATGGCCAGGGTTGATAGATAGTGTGCAGAATAAGGTGAAAGCAGTGTGAGTGTAGCTATGTGGCCCTCACCTCTGCTTGTCACCTATTCTCACATGAGCAGTGCTCTCATGTTAGCATAACATGATGTACCAGCTAATCAGTGGGTGAGCTAGGTTGTGTGATTGCCACCCTGCACGGCCTGTCAGCCAGGTGCTCAGCATCCAAATCAGCTTGGAGCTCATGCATCCCCAATACTTGTATGAATTTTTATTTTGACCTTGTTTATTTTTATTTTTCTTATTCTTACAGTGATGCCACTGCTTCACTTCTCCAGATCCCTTTTTGACCACAATCCTTCTTCCAAATCACAACACACACCACTCATGCCTACTCACTCACAGTCACCATTTTGACCAATAACAATCAAGTCTTGTTCTTTCATTATTGATAGTGAGCTTCACCCATCAAATCACCCATCTGCCTCATTCATGGTTCATAAGTCTCACTTTCCTTTGATCAGTTGGTTCTGATCGTTCTTGTTCATCAATACCATCTCTTTACTCTGGTTCATTGAACTCAAATCTATTGTATCATGATAAGTCCAAATTATCTTCTCTTCAAAGACTTGTTGGGGAAAATTGTTGTAAGTTTAACTCATCCCTTGTTTTTTTCTTGTGTTTGTTCATGATTTTTTTCACTTTACAGATATTGTTGTTTTTGTTTGAACCAACCATGTTTCAGCTTCCTTCATCTCCCCCCTGTTCTAGATAATCTACACTTATGATTTATATTCACTGATGTCACGGTTTTTGCTTTTGATCTATAGTTCCTTGGTTTTCAAATTTTCCCTTTCTCAATCACTAGCTTGATCATATGTCGATATCAACTCCTGTCTTTGACTCCATGTCTTATCAACTCATGTTCACTTACATGATTGTGATAGGAATTGGAAGTGCTTGAGATGCAAGAGAGCGCTGAGAGTATTCCAGTAAGGTATATGAATTGCTAAGTGAGGAAAAGAGACTATGCTCAACGCAACACAAGAGGTATAGCACAATACAGTATAGGCATATTACTAGTAAGCCTTATAGTGTTAAGGTCATAACAGATTGTCTTTCCTTCCAATACATATATCTCTATTTCATTTTGATATTGTTTTTTGATTGAATTCAATTCATTTCTTTGAGGTTTTCAAAAACACTTGTTTTTTCAATGTTCTTGTTCCTCATGGACCATATGTTCTTTTTTTGCATGTAATGAGCAGATAACTGATGGTCCACGGAATTAAAAAACCAAAATTTGTGAAGTCTGATTTGTATAGGCTGATTAGTGAGCCATAATGAGGTTATTTCTGATCATTCTGATGAGAGTCATCTCACATCATCACAAGGTGAGACAAAATGGATGATCTAGCTCACTCAATGAAGGGGTGGTCCACCATGCTTTAGCTACGTGATTGCCTTGGGTGAAGCTCACGCTGGCGGGCACATGTAGCTCACAGCGGTTATGATGGTGTAGACAGCGCGTGTTTTATTGGCAGAGTCAAAATCCACCTGAGCTTCACGTGTCAGCAGCCCCGTGGTGTAGTTAGGGTGGTGGTTGTCCACCAATCAATGTGATTCGACTTCAACCCTCAAAGAGTATTTGGAGTATGTGTCTCCAGGACCAACCCATGGTATATGCATGGCTAGCTGAGAGTAGCTGTGCAATGTGTCCCAGTGACATGATCTATGCATTACCCGCTGCTCTCCATGGTATATAGGAATTGGTAGTGTAGTGACTATTTCAGATTGGCCTAAACAGGCAATTTCTTGATGATCCGTGAGTACTGGAAGGTTAGACAGGAAGTTGATATGTATGTAGACGCTCTGCTGGGTTCGAACTTTGAATCATTTTGCATCCAGGGACCAGCACGACAAAAGCCGCCAAGAGAGTATTTCTGTATGTATTTATCGGGCGGTGCAGGTTCTCCGTCTTCATTCTTTGATGCTCCACGTACATATGCAGATATCTGCAGTTCGTCAAATCTCCGGGGAACCACCTTGGGGATTGTCAGATTTGCTGTGTGGCGCGCATGAGTTGGAGGTAAGAGATCCGAGCTTGTCAAAATTGATGACCAGACTGCGGATCGTATAAGGCCGATGCTGTTGATGCACAAGGGAAGGAAGAAAGTGAGAAAGTGATGTGCTTCGTAAAACTTGAATGTTTATGAGGTGATTTGATTTGATTTGATTTGATCTGATTGATATGATTATTAGTGATTTATCTGATCTTGAGGACACCAAGATGAATGAAGCTGACTGAAGATTTGTGGTTTTTTTTGCTTGATCGTATCTTGATGGATGGATATCAAGTTTGATAAATTGAGATTTCTAAATCTACATCATCATCAAGTTCCATTCTAATTCCTAATTCCGAATCACCAATGGTTCCTTTGACTTTTACAGGACAGGCAAGATCGTTGAAAGTTTTTAGAATAACACCCTCTGAATCCAATCTTCACGTCTTTCTGGTAGAATCTTGATATGAGTAGATATTCTCAAATCTTGACCGCTCTTTTATGTGTGTATCAATCATCACAGGATTCCATTCTTCTCCAAGGTTGCCAACCTCGTGGTTCTAATTGAAAGGATCGGATCGGTAGTCAGTTGAAGAGTATAAAACATTCTAATAAACCATTCATTCCAATTGAACTCCTACCGCCCCTTCAATTTAAACATCACACAGCCTGATCCAATAAATAAATAATAACAGTACCTTTTACACCAAAGCTTTCTCCACTTTTGAGTACAAATGTTTGTATCGAACCATCATTCAATTTTCATGATCAACTCATAGCACAGCTTGGTCTTGAAGTCTTTCTGATTGTGATTGGATTCTAAAAAAAATTATCTCAGCTTATCTTTGGTTCGTATATCTACCCGAGATATATATTCTAGAAAAGAGTCTCAAAGAATTCATTGATTCTCAAAGGCTTTCCTTCCAATCGACCATCATCCAAACCAAGTGAAGATGACCCACAAATCCAACATCCAACCCAAGACTCATTATCAAACTTATTCAACTTTACATTCACCAACGATTTCTTCTTCTAAAACAAATTATAAACCAAAAAAACCAAATTCTATCATCAGTCATCAGTCTATCACAAACACTTCAACTTCATTTCAAAATCCAATTCAACTCATCAGTTTAGATTTAGCTTTGGAATCTAAATTGATCGATTCGATTGGTCAAGAAATTAAATTTAATCAAATCCTGGATCCTAATTTTAGAACGATTGTAATCTTTTTAAGACATTTTAGGTAAACAGTCTTGACTTTTAATCTCTTTGATGATGATTTGAGAATCTATGAGGTTGGATTTGATGATTGATGATTTGATGATTGATGGTTTGTTTATATAGATGTCCATTTTGTCAACAATATATTAAAAAGTTATCAGAAATCTCACTTCATAATCAAAACTTAATGATGTTTAGATACAAAATTAGAATCATTCTGATCGGTCAAGGTGATTATAAGATGATAAACCCTTACAAAGGTAAACAAACCTTTTTTTCTTTTCATTATCTTCAAAAATCATGATTTTATTCAGCTAAATTCAAACTTTTGAAATCTCTTTCCATTCGGTTTCCACTGTAGCATTATATAATTGTCCATTTCCAATTTATTCAGATCCGAATCAAAACCATCCACTTTATAAATCATTAGGAATGCAATCTGGTTCTTTCTTTACTAAATCACCAAGTTTATCTTCTGTTTCTTATTTAGATCATTTATCAATCTTTGAACTTTTCATCATGGCTCTCAAAGTAAGTCAATCTTAAATCCTTCAGGTTCATCTATTTTTTGGGTATTTATCATTGATGGGAATCTTTGGGTGTGTACAAAATGATAAACAGAATGCCACAAAGATGCCGTTGAGATATGGTGGTGATTTGAAACAATTAGGTATGTTTTCTTCTTAAAAAATTCCAAACCCTTTCTCTTTTTCTCGTCTAATCGATTTTTGATTTTTTTTTCTTTTATCCAGGTGGTGAATTTGTTTTTGAACCAATCAAAGTAAACACCATCAAAAGGAAACCCATTAAATTCGATCCATACGAACAAAGCTTTCATCCTAATCCAATTCAAGAAACCCAAATCCATCATGAAATTAAAAAACCTAAACCGATTCCAGGGTTTTTAAAATCGAAATTAATCTTAGATTTTTCAAATCAAATCTCTTCTTCTACGAATTCTTATCCTCCTGATTCACCTTCTACTTCTTCTAACTTTTCGACTTCTTCTACTTCTACTTCTTATTCTATTTGGTCGGGGATCTCTTCTAGTGAAAAGAAATCAAAGTTTCAATGTAGATTTGTTCATAGAATGAGGTACGTGTTTTTTTGTTGTTTTTGGATTTTTTTGGGTTTGAAACTGATCTTTGGGTTTCGGTTTTTAGGAATATGAGAGATCATACTCCTTTAGAAGAAGTCTTAATGGCAGCTGGAATTAAGATTCATTAAAACTCACCACACCTTTTTTATTTTGATTCCTTTTCTTTTCATTCTGGATGGTTTTTCTCTATTTTAGAATTGCATTGTGTCATAATTTCATTTTTTTTATCATCATCAGAATTTCATACGTCTTATGAAGTTATGTTTATTTTTATTTCAATATATATATATTTAAAAGTATTAAGTAAAACAAAAGTTAAATCTGTAAAAGAAAAGATGGATAGTATTAAAAAATGAAAAATTATCATGGACTTGTTTTTTTTGGATTTTGTGTAAATATACAGCCATTGCGATATTGCTTGTCGCACCTGTTTGAAAAAGAAAAAGTTTGTGAGCTTGAAACCTAAGTTTTAACCGGCTAAAACCTGGAATTTGGCTGTATTGCCTTGAATTACAGCCAAGTTTGAAGTTTTATTGAGTAAAAACAGGTAAAAACTTAGGTTTCACTTTTTCTTTTTCAAACCGGAGCGACAAGCAATATCGGAATGGCTGTAAGTTTAATGAACATTTTCATGAAAGTTTTTCTTTTCTAATTTTAATTTTAATTTTATGATAAAGGAAATCAATACAATTTTTTGGGGGTTTTTCTTTGAAGGAATATACTTGAGTGTGAACGGGAGGGAGACCTTTTGGACGTAGTACATAGTGCATATTCCTCATAAGAGGAATTGGATGAGCTTTGCTTTGAAAAAGTCTCAAGTCATATCAGCTAGCTGATCATCATACATATCATTATATGTACTTGGTCCATTCGAGGCCGTGCTCAAAGATTCATCCTCATCTGCACATACAACCTCTTGCTGACATTCTACCTCATTCTAACCTTTGCTCACCAACTTATATCGTCTGATGATCAAAGAGTTCATGATTATCTTTTCTATTGAGTAACGAGACCTATGATTGTTCAATCGAAACAGACTTTCACCTATCTTACCCATGTGGTGCAGCTGGGGTTTGGGGGGTGACCGGGGGGTGGGGTTCCCTCGCATCTGGATCCTTCTTTTTATTTGACTTGATGAAGAGCACGTAAGATTGTAAGATCCACGGTCATAGAGATCGGCTCGGAGTAGTAAGAATTCATAAATCTCTCCTGATGGAACCCTATCTCATCTTCACGTTTTGAAATCATGAGCTTTCAATCGAACGTATAACACTTTTGTTAACTCAAATAGGGCGAGTTCCCTGGCATCCGGATCCTTTTTTTATTTGACTTGATGAAGAGCACATAAGAGCCACGGTCATAGAGATCGGCTCGGAGCAGTAAGAGAGCATAAATTTCTCCTGATCGAGAACTTCTTCATCTTCACGTTTTGAAATCACGAGCTTTCCATCAAACTTTACTACACTTTTTTCGAATCTTTCATATATTTATATATGAAAAGGATTCTTGGAAACCAAGATTAAGATTTATGTTAGATAAAAGGTTTCAAAGATCAACTTTGAATGAATCATCGAAGATTTATCAAGTTTCAAGGATCTTTCTTACTAAGTTTTACCGAGGTTTTTGGTGTTTTTTTTTCAAAAAAGAAAGGAAAGGTTGTCATGACATTTTCGATAATCATGGACTTCGTCACCATAAATCGAATCAAGTTTATTGAGGAGTCTTAACGGGTTAAGAAATACTTTAAAAAGAGACCTTTTCTTTTTTTGTTTTTGTTCCTTTCATCCTATAGCTATATACTTACGTTCATAGTCATCCATTTGCATACATAAAAAGACTTCGATAGGAAAGAAAATTGTATAGAAAAAGCACCTCTGTTTAAAATCTTTTCAACTTTCACATATAAGCTTGTATCTCAATTTTTTTTTTACGAAAACACACACAACCACAAACCAACAAGTTTTACTTGATTTTTTTTTTACTTTGGATTACTAGAGAAGCCAGAGCGAATCGTAGGGTTTGAAACTTTGATAGTTTGAAATCTTTCCGTAATCACAAGAAACATAAAAAGAAAAGGTCAATTACTTTTTGATTGATTCCGTTACAAAAGATTTCTTTATCCAGAAGATTTATACTGATTTTTTTCTCGATACTATTGTACTACAGATGAATTTTCAATTAAGAATGATAATGATGATGATGATGATTTGCTTGATGAATTCAATTTCTTATATAAATTGTAAACCTCATCCGAATTTATCTGGTTTAGATTTTAAATATTCGTTAAGAAGACATCACAGATGAAGAAATTCTTTGAAATCTCGTTGTTCATTGACTCTTTTTTCACTTCTTTGATACATATGTACTTTCTTTGTTCAAAAAGAATCCATATTTCTAGAGAATCGATTTCGTGATCAAGTTGTATCCTTTTTTTCTTTGTGTCATTTTTTTCTTTGGGTGATGATAGTGTAAACAAAATTTCATGAGATTTGTGTATGATGATTTGTTAGTAAGTAAGAAATCCGTTGGTTTTACCGAGATGTAGTTAATCAAATTTATAAACATGATCAAAAGAACAGTCAACCGATTTCTTTTAGTCGGTTCAAAGACTATGTTGATAGCTTTGATCGAATTACATCAAGTTGAATCTTGAACTTATTAAAATTCCTCATTCTCACCTGTCTTCGAGGCGTGAGGGAGGGAATGTGGAAAGTTTAGGTTGAAATTGATCGTTGAGAAAGATTGTTAGGGCTCCAATGCACATCAACAAGAACCAATGCAAAAGATTGCAAGGTTAAGTTGACTTCATTTTGATCATCCTATAACCAGCCAAAGATCTCATCAATCAAATCTCATTTGATTATGGCTCACTACATCTACATCCAATATGGAGAACCTTGCGAGTTTGTCACATTACTTTTAGTAGAGGGTTGGATGATATGCACAGAAATGTGAAATGAGATGGATTTGGATGATTGGTATAGGTGTCACAGTGACTTTCACAGAGCAGTAATCAGGGATATAAGCATAAATACCAAGTTATGCTTTAAACCGAATAAACCTGATCACATCCCAAATTTTTGAAAAAAAGTTTCGAAAAGTTATTGAACCACAACAAATCACAACTACAACTGATCCCAACTTATCATCAATTTTATAAAGAAGACCAGATGTCAGAAAGAAATTCAAAACCAAACCAACCGATCATCAATAAAGATAAAGGTAAATCAAAAGCAAAAGAAACAAATCAAGTTACCTATCAAGTGGAATCAAGTAGACTTAAACCTTATTTAAATGAAAGTGAAAGATTAGTTAAAAGAAATTTATCTGATTGGAAAGTAAGACTTAGAATTCCTAACTGATTCTCAGAAAGAAAATTTTCAAAAGATTTCTTTACTGATACTTTGAAATCCATTTCATTTCTTTTTTTTATAGAATCAAACCCAAAATGATACAAAACTATCAGCACATCTTTCAGCTATTTCATCTAGACATTTGAATACAGCTACAAGTTCAGCAGAACATGATGATTTACTTTTATCAAATCGAACATCAGGATCATTAATTCAAGTTGAAAACCCATTAGAAAGAACTTGGAAAGTCACCCAAAAAGATATAAAAGCATCAGTTGGGATCTCAACCTCGATTAAATCATTTGGTTTATCATTAGAAGGAGGACCGATTAAATTTGATTATAGTCAAAACGGACGACACTTAGCTTTAGGGTCTCATCAAACCGGTCATCTTTCTACACTTGATTGGAAATCATCTAAATTGATGACTGAATTAAATGTGAATGAAACTACAAGATCAATTAGATGGTTACACAATCAATCTTTCTTTGCTGTTGCTCAACGTCGTTATGTGTTTATTTATGATGGTCATCAAGGAACTGAACTTCATCAACTCAGATCTCATTTAGAAGTCACTCAAATGGAATTCTTACCATACCATTTCTTATTATCTACCATTGGATTACCTGGTTGGCTAAAGTATCATGATACATCTACCGGACAAATCGTTTCACAACATCGAACTAAATTAGGGTCTTGTTATACGATGACTCAGAACCCATTTAATTCGATTATTCATTTAGGTCATCAGAATGGAACGGTGTCACTTTGGAGTCCTTCGGTTAATCATGCTCAGGTGAAGATCCTGGCACATCGTGGACCCGTGACGAGTGTTTCGATTGATCCATCTAGTTCAGGTAGATTAATGGCTACCACCGGTTTAGATTCGAGTTTAAAAATATGGGATCTAAGGACTTATAAAACCTTGAATGAATGGACCTTGAAGAGCCCAGCCAAAAGCTCGAGTTGGTCACAAAACTCTTTGTTGGCAGTCGGATGGGGATCACACGTCTCAGTTTATTCAGGTGTAGGACGAAACCAATCACAAAAAGGAACGTATATGCAAGAAAGCTTTCCATCCCAATCGGTTGAACAAGTTCAATTCTGTCCGTTTGAAGATGTTTTAGGAGTCGGTCATAGCGGAGGGTTTTCAAGTTTGATCATTCCAGGTTCAGGTCAAGCTAATTTCGATAGTCTAGAAGCTGATCCTTTTGAAAACAAATCACGTAGAAGAGAAAGAGAAGTTCGAGGATTGATGGAAAAGATTCCGTTTGATTTGATCACTTTGAATCCTGAGATGGTCGGAAGTCTTGCAGATCCGGTTTTGAAAGAATCAGATGAATTAAAACAATTGAAAGGAAATTCAAAACTTACGCCTTGGAGAACATTATCTAGAGCTGAAAAATTAGCGGCACAAGGTAAATCGGGTGAAGAAGAAGTCTTGGATGATGATGATGATGATGTACAACAAAATGGAATCAAAGATCAAGGTGTAGACAGATCAGTACCAATCAAACAGAAGGAAAAGAAAAAGATGAGAGGTAAGAATTCGAGTTTGAAACGAGTTTTAAGGAAGAAACAAAAGAATGTGATCACACCTGAAGCTGTAAGTGTGATTCGATCAAGTGTTTCTTAAATCTTTAAATCGAGCCAAAAATTAACATTGACTAACTTTTTTTTGTTTTGGTATTGATGATTATTCATTAATTTGATGAATTTAGGAAGCACTTCGAGCAAAGATTGCATTACGTAAACAACAACAGATGATCACTTTGAAATCTAAGCAAAGTTCTTCTGGAATACCTAATGGACCAGTTGACGCTTTGAGTCGGTTTTCGAATAAGAAATAAATTTATTCATCTTTCTGTAGGTTTATAAAAAGTTATTTGGATTCTAATCCAATCTCACAACTAGCACTTTTCGATAATTTGTTCTGATTGATTTTGTTCTTCACTTGTTTTTTTTGTATCTTTCCATCAGGTCTCAGCTCTGACACGACTCTTGAGGGTAAAAGAATGAAAAGTTGAATTCTTAGGCCTTGAATTTAGTCAATTTTTCAAAGTTGTTTGAAACTTATTAGCAAATCTTTGGTTTTCTATATCACTAATTTCTATTCGGTTAAAACCTTGAATAAATTGGGTTTCTCACATCTGACTTCATAGATTATGACTTCTCACAAAATTATAAACTGGATAATGATATACACATTATAAGGTTTTAAGATTAATGATATAGTAAGCCTTCAAGAGAACTCTCCAAATAATAGCTATCACATGATAAGAAGAAAGAGAGAGAAAAAAGACCATCCAAAAATCCAAAGAGAAAGAGAGAAAGAGAGAGAGAATACAAAAAGAAAGATGCTCTTATTAGCAAGTTGAGTTGCATATAAGCCAAAAAGAAAATTGAGGGATATGTTAAACGTCCTTGAGATTATCTTCCAAAGAGGTAATATAAATATATAAGGAGAAGGAATCAGATGAATTGAATAGAAAGAGAGGGTTACAGGTCAACGAGGATGGGACCTGGGTCCTTCAGGGTGAATCCTGAATCAAGAAGTGCTCGTAGATCTTGAGGATCGTCCGTAAGCTAAAATAATATGATATCAATCAATCTAGAGCTGAGCAGATGAGTAGAGCAGAGAAGCTGGGGAAACACGTACACATTCATTTCTTTCGAGTGCGGAAGGATCCTGAAAAGGCAAGGTAGTATGAAAATTAGGCCAAAGCTTACCAACGAAATCAGGTGGTTGAGAATGAGAAGGTTGAGATTCAGATGGTTCATCATGAGAAGGAGTATGTTCTAGAGCAGTTTGAAATGAAGTGATCGTATCACATTGATAATCACTTGTGTCTGTTGAATCTCGAAGGTGTTGTGGATGAGATTGAAAGTCTTGAGAGGATGAAGAAAGATCAGAAGACCGAGTTGGAGTTGGAGTCGAATCAGATCGAGTAAGAGGTGTGGTATTAGAAGAAGGTATAGTCGTTTCCGATCGATTGGGATGGGTATGATTGATCATAGTCTTTAAACTATGATAACTTCGTTTCTGATCGATTCGGGTGCTTTGGTTGGATTCATTTGCGCATCTGGGTTGATCATAACCTAATCGAAGTCTTCGAATCTCGGGAGAAATCGGAGGACAACTTGGAGGATCATAGGCTCGCCAAGTAGTGGTTGATCCATCAGGTGTATGGGTTTGAGGATCAGATCTTTCTTGGGTTTGAGAATCTAGGGTAAGATGTGAGAATGGAGCTTGGGAGTAAACATGAACTAAACAGCTAAGATAAAAGTTGATTTCATTAGCAAGATTGATTGTTAAGGAAAGAAAGGAGATTGAAGATAATACGAACCGAACAGTTTCATCTACAATCTTATTGGCAGCAGCTTCATCTTCGATTTGTTGAGCGGTATCTTGAATAAGCTGAGGTGTTGGACGAGGAGGACTGGATGAGATCCATCCAGATTAAGGTTAGATATCAAAATATAAAAAGATGAAGAGAATTCCAGGACGTACGGTGGATTGATGATTAATGGAGTTCTTTCATCTGGTTCTTGCTTAAAAGTAAAGAAATCGATTAGATTGGATTTAGTGATAGAGAGATAGAAAGAATTGATTTCATACATTCTGATCATTGATTGGTTGAGAATGATTTAGATTTAACCAAATTGGACAAGTTGTTGAGAACCACTGTCCCATCAAGAGTTGGTTGTAGGATGATAATAGCTTGAGGAAGTTGAAGTTGAAGTTGAAGAGAACTGGAAAGTCAAATCAAATGAGCACTGTGTATGCGTTCAACATTTAAAACTTGGAATTTGGAATGGTTTTTGGTACCTGTACACCCCTCTCAACAGTCAACAGTCCAATCATTTTCATGCGCGGTGGATGTTCCATTCTCAGTCTGTTCACTCCATCACCACTCTAATAGCTATAATAGCTATAAGATGCAAGTCAGTAGTACTGATACAACAGGACCTCAAATGGAATCAAAGCAAACCGATTTATTTGGTGGAGCGATCAAAGTTGAATTACCTACTACTTTAATCGATATCAGGTCAGTTTCAATAATCTATTATCTTCATTTCATTATTCTAACTTTCATTTTTGTTTTTTGATAAACAGTCAAGTTAGACAAGTACCTGATTCTCAAGAAGTTTTCATTTTGAATTCTAAAGATCTTGAAAAACCTAATGATCTTTCAATCATCATTGAAGTACTACAAAAACTTTCAACTTCATCTTCATTCGATTCAATTCGGTAAACCAATTTCTCTTTTGCTTTCCTCAACTTGAAATCTTCTTTTACCAACTTCATCTTTTTATTTTTTTTGATTTCTATTCAGTTTTCATTTCGATTCATTAGCAAATGATAACTCAGCTCAATCATCCAAAATCCTAAAAACATTCAACCTCAACCAAACTTCTGCAACCTCAACCTCATCAAACCCATCAACAAATCATCTCACTACTCCTCAACCTATCTTATTAGAAGGCATTCAATCTGTTTCAAAATTCAATCGTCCAGATTCAGAAGCTGATCAAGTTCATATTTGGATGGCTCTTTGGACTTTAAATGGCATAGGGAATAATGGACTAGGTACTGATCTAGTCTTGACAATGAACCTTCCTAATGTTTCTCAACCTGAAGTTCTTGAACAGACTACTAAATTATTTCAACTGGCTGCTAAGACTCTTCAAATTGTTGATTGGAATTTGTTTGCTTAAATCTTATATATATATATACATATACCATATATACCATCACAAATCAAGACCTTAGTGGGAATCATTATCATCAATATCATCACATATAAATTCATAATGATGTATTATTACAGCTTTCCTTAAAAAAATGTAAAATGCTTTTTTGGGTTCATAACTCAGGAATTGAGAATTGGTCTTCTTGAATCATTGAAGGTTCATCCCGATCTCCAAGTAATTCTTCAGGAACAATGAATCCCAAACAAAATGCCGTTCTGTCCGTCACAAGCAATGCAGCACCATCTTTGATCCATGTGGCCTGGACCGGTGCAAATGGAACCTCTGTACGGTGAAAAACAAAAATAGATCATCTTCAGAATACATGCTCATGAATATCATTCTTAAAAGGTATATGGAACCTACTGGCTGGTATACCGATTCCATCTATCCATTCTGACAACTGGGAAAGTTGTGTCATACTGGTCATCGCAGGATCTGGCCTGGTTGGATACCACAGATAGAGTGCCGAGCTAGCAGTGACGATCACAAGGACGTTCCGAGTGGGATTCCATTCGAAACACTTGACCGGAAGTTCGAATTGAATCACACTCGCTACTCGTGGTTTCAGAGGTACCGAAGCACCAGTTACCGATGAGGCAGATGAGATGGGTACTGATCCCAGGTTGGCCGATCTGAATGAGAAGATGAATAGATTCAATGGCATCGCATCTACAAACGTAGCACAAAATGATCAGCCTTGATGATCCGATCCGGTCAGAAGGACAAAGTGAGTCAAACGAGATGACTGTACCATTACGACATGCAAGGAGTTCTCCATCTGAGCTCCACTGCATCTCCCGCACTCCAATGCTTGGGTTGGGTTTACTAAAATCCGGAGTAAGAGAATTGGCTAGGGTCGAGGATGGGACTGGATCGACTGTTTTACAGATTTTGACATCAGTTTAGATTCCGAATTTCGATTCCTACGGCTTTGAAGAAACTCAACTCACATGGTATGATTCCGTGTGCACGAGTACGCTCAATCCAACCCATGGGTTCGATCAGAATTTGCTACAAATCAAACAAGAATAGATAGGTACGACGTCTAAATGACTCGAATGAAGAGATATAAATGACACACTCTTGTTGGTTTGGAATTCAAGTCGATCTCACAAATCGGGGTCCAAGTGATATCATTCAAGATTCGTACCTTCAAGATGACCAATCTTATGATCAACTCGAATCCAAAATGCTTGATATATTAAACCTCAACTATACTTTACCTTTCCATCCCAACCACCTATAGCGAGATATTCACCACCGGGTCTCCACTTCACATGTCGTATTCCCAACCCAAGATATCCATCCACCACTGAAGTTTCATCCGAGGCATCGGTTTTCTCTTTCCGCCTAATCCTTTCCTTTGATGTCAATTGTGTGCCACGTGAGAAGGCGTGTCCATCTGATCGGCCATGACTCGTAGACTGAGCCATAGAATCATTCAGATCAACAAAGCTCATCGGAGGTGAGTATGCGCCTAATCTAACACCGGTTGGCGTTACTATCTCAACCCTATAGTTGAACAGTGCTGATTCAATCAAGGCAAGGTATCGATCACACGGACTCCAGCTGATCTGATTCACATCTATCAAATCTGTAGGTACATCAAATAGGCTGACACACGTCCAAGCCAACGTATCACAGATAGCCAGATGATCACGAGTTTTTCCAGGTTGACGACAAATAAGAGCAAAGTAACGAGACGTATTGGAGAAAGTGGAGCCCAGAAGTGGACCATGCTTTGGATGATGAAGTTGTAGAGGTTGAGGTTGAGCAGACGTTAAAGGCCAGATAGTGATACGTAACTAAAGAGTGCGATTGATGAAATTTTAAAGTATCAGAATACCGGAAAGTTTGAAATTAGGATCAAGTAGACGTACTCCCCAATCACTCCAGACCATGATACAATCACTACTAGGACCCCATTTAACAGCTCGCTCCCCACTAGCAACACCCTCTGCACCTACTTCTATACATGCAGTCAGTTCATTGGACTTCATGGAATGCACATAAATGACCGATGTTTCCGGATGTCGGGAAAGGGCAAGAACATGTTCCGAGTTAGGAGAAAATGAAACACAAGTCAGACGCGTGGTTTTGCGTTCGTCTGTGATCGGATTGATTGTCGAGGCTCGAAAGGAAGGAATTCCAGCACGCGATTTAGTAGTGATTGGATTAGAAGAAGATCGAATAGACGATTGACTAGTAGGAGGTTTAAAAGGTTGAGATGATGTTATAGGTTTTTTGGGTGGGTGTTCGTTTCGAGCAGGTTCAGATGAAGAATGTTGACATCGCCAACTTCTGATGACTTCCATGGAGGTTGTAGATCGAACGACGAGTCGATCACCCACTGAGGTGAGAATGTATTTTCCATCAGGTGAGACTGTAGAGGATGATGAGGAGCTATGAGGGTATAGCGGAGTGAAGTCCATTTGATTGATCGATTGTGACGATAAGCTCAGCAGAGGATTCGAGGAATTGGTGATGACTTGAGTGAATGTTCCCGCATCCTGGCGCAATGACGCACAACACCTGCACAGGGCGCCGTCCGGGGCAACCCCTGCGGCCGCCATTCACCTCAAGCTAAACATCCTCACACCTTCCAATCCCAAAGTTCAGGCTTAGGCAATGGGGTGAACAGACAACATCTTGATCTTCAAGGAAATTTCTTATGTGCTACGATACCAAGCCCATTCCCAATATTTTCTTCTCAAAATTCTGCCATAATACTATTGAGCCTATCTTTGGTCACCGTGCTGTGGTATTAACCCATCAGGACCTTTAGAGCATCTCATATATAGCCAACATTTCATGTGCTTTAGTTTTGTCGTTGGTAACTTGTTATTAACATAAGGTAATGTGAATAATTCGGACTTTTATTGACATGTAACTGTACTAACAGTTTTGGATATCTTTATACAGTCGATCCAGAATAGCTTGATAAAATAAAATTTATTTATTTTTAATTCACAGCAATACAGCCCAATACAGGCATTCCTATAAGCATAGCCTACAGTTGAGATAGGTGATTCGAGGTTCAACCTCGGGTTCACCCTTATCTCAACTTCCTCGATAACAACCATTCCTTATGGTTGAATCATTCGTCCATCAATTAGTCCATTATCTTTCTCATATCCGTTATGCCATATGTCAAATACTCCCCTCAGTTGAAGGTTATCGCTCTCAATAAGTTCATATCAGGTCAACCAGTTGCCTCCATCAACAATGATCTCCTCACTTTGATCTCAGCGCAAACCTTCACACGTTGGAAAGAACTCTACGACCTTACTCATGCGGTCATCAGAGATCCGGATTCATATGATAAACGAGGACGTCCGACTCTGTATTCCGACCAAGACCGACAGTTCATGCTTGAACTTATCGAAGCCGATCCGTGCATGTTCCTGGACGAGGTCCAGGAGGCGATGTATGATCATACTGATCTACTCGCTTGTCGACAAACTATCGCCAATGACCTCAAGGAACGGCTTTACCTCACCGTTCACAAGGTTGCAAAGGTCGATAGCAACCAATCACCCGAGCTTCGAGCAGCGTATTCGGGTCAAGTTGCCCATCTTCCACCAGAGTGTCTGGTCTTCTTAGGTAAGCATCCATCTCCTTCTAAGCCTTCTATCTTCTTCTTTATATCCAATCTGACTCTATCATTTCATCCATCATGAAGATGAGACCGGGCTTCGACCACAAGATGTCGAACGAAACCACGTTAGGTCCAAGAAAGGCGAAAGACCAAAGTCTTTGAAGCGTACGAGGGCGGGGAATCACTATACTGTGCTGGCTGCCATCTGTGAATTGGGCTTACTCGCAGTCAACGCCAAGGTCAATGGCTATCGTCGAGACGAATTCCAGGCCTTTTTGAAACACATCTTGGTAAGTGACTGTCTCTCTCGCTTATTTAACTGTGCATAATGAGCTGATGCTCTCGATCTGTTTCAAGCTCCCTGTCATGGGTCGCTTCCCGAATTGAAACTTGGTTCTGGTGATGGATAACGCAACTATCCATCGCCGTGGTGGAATTCTAGCGTTGTGCGAGGCAGTTGGAGTTCTATTGGTCTATCTTTCACCTTGCTCGCCCGACTTCAACCCGATCGAGCGCACATTCAAGGTATTCAAAGATGCTCTCCGCAGGAATGGTACGCTGGCTGAGGCTGTTGATAAGTTGAAATGTCTGACAAGGGTAATGAGCCAGATTTGTACTAGCTCGTTCCTTGTCAATCTTTACAAGACTGGTGGTTACAGACCTAAAGATGATGAAGATGAGTTTTAAAAAAATGTTGTTGTACTGCTTAAATCGAGATATTGAAAATATGCAAAGAAAGATATTGTCTTATTGAGATCTCCAGTGAAATACACTGCAACATTGAGGAGGTGAATCGAATTGATGGAACACTCAAGGAAATGAGATTCTTCTATCTCATGTTTCTCAAAACATGAGATAGATTATAAGATATTTTGAGAAACGTAAAACAAGAAAAATCCTATGATTGGTTTGATCTTGATTTGAGTGAGAGGCATAAGGATTACCTTTGCAGAAATTCACTCTCATTTGGAATCTCAATCACACTTGGAGCTTTGTTTTTTTACTAAACAACAGTTTGATTACAGCATATTTCTTTCACAACAAACAAACAATAATAGATAGCGAGTCATTTTGCTATAGTGTACTGTGGCTACAACATAAGAATGTTACTCTTTAACACAAGGAGGCCAGTACATGTTTTTTTTGATTGGAGGTGGGATGTGAGGTTTAGAAAGTAGGATTAGCTTCATCCTTGAGATGCTGTCGATATGATATGGCATTTTCATGGAGTCGGACACGTTGTCCAAACCCAAACCCAAAACCTGCCATCACTGCGCAGCTAAGCTCGGAGGATAAAAACATCTCGAAATTGACGATGTTGTATTTGTTGAGCAAATCGCGAGTTTCTTGATCGTCCTTCTCAATCGAACAATAGTCAAGGTAACATTCAAAGTGAGGGAGTGGCCTTGGGCCGGGGAATCTGATCGGGGTGTGGACTTGTAGCGTGAGACCATTGGGAGTTGAGAGGTTGACTGAACAGAGCTGGAAGCCGTACTAGTAGCCTTTCGGGAATGTAACTTGCTGATCGGCAACCATTGAAACTCGGGTCCGGTAGGTGGTCTCATTAAGGTGACTCCAGGCTTATGAATGGCCTAAATTTAAATGATCAACGCACATTAATCAGTGTCAGTATCTTGAAAGAACAATTTTTAGGGGTAGAAAGTGACTTACAAGGAGTTCTGCCCATATGTCCATTGCCAAATGCGAGAGATGCATCGCCTCGTTGGTGTTGGCTGGGTTGATAATACCCATACACTATTTACCTCCGATTGAAACACAGCCATACATCTTCATTAGAGTCACTCTATGGGCCTGAACATCCGGTTCAACATGTATAGTCTGTTTGAAAGATTGATTCTTATCAATTGAAAATTTGAAAAGATTATATAAAAACTCACTGCCATCTCCATCTCATCGACTTGATCATCGTTCAACACATTTGTAAGTTGGTGTTGCAACACCCGATTAAAATCCACTGTCTGTTCAATTGATTTAAACAAAATCAATACCAAAATTGAGAATGAGAAGAATAAGAAAGACGAAAAGGGCTTACTTTGGAATTGTTTTTGGCGGTTTTCTTTGGGTTGTCCATGAAGAGACTGAAGCCGACCTCCTTCCCCTTCTTCAAGATGATCATGGCTTGGAAATCCTTCAAAGTATCCTCGGATGAAATTTTTGGCATTGCAGTCTTACCAAAGATGCCACCAGTAGTCATGTAACCCTTAAGTATAACTCTTCCTTCGCTGTCAGCTACCCTCAACATCTTGCCACATCCCTTCTTGTGGCTGTCACACGCATTGAAAAGGGACGACTTGACCTGCCCGAGTGATTGTCCATCGACTTGGATCATGATGTCCAAAGGAGTCTTGACTGGGATGCCGTATTTGATGTACGAGATGGGCACACCGGATCCTTTGTCGGCGTCAGTGAGGGGATTGGCTAGGAAAAGGTTGAAGTAGAACTTGGCCGGGATCGGTTTGCGCTCCACGGGTTTGACATGGCGATCAGCGTCGCCAGGGCCTGGGCTTGGTGATTGAGTTAGATCCACATATCGATGTGGATCTACTGATCAAGAGATCAGTTGCTTGCTTTTTGGTGGCTTCTGAAAGATAAGATGAAAACTTACTTTCATCAACTCGGTTTCTGGCCTCTTGAACACCAAAGAGAGGGTCCCGATGGACATCTAAATCGTGTTGATGTTCTCCAACAGCCACCATAGGCATTCCAAAGCCTTGGTGGGCTATTGGAAGAACTATCGGTGCGATACCAGCATCAACATTGATTTCTACAAATCAATCGAAGGTCAGTTGATATTGAAATGAGAAGGAAGTGAGATTTAAAAAAAAGAACTCACCGGGACGAAATTGGAAAGGGCAAGAAAATTCCTGGAAGCCTGGCTCGGCGAAGGGATCGATGTGGACTGAATCGGTGTGAGGTATTGGCGTCTGCCGTATCGACGGTCCTCCCAGTGATGTCCGGGTCTGAAAACCAAACAGAAGCTGATCAGAGACTCTTGAAGACAACAAAAGAGAAAAAAAGAAAAGGAACTCACTTGTCAAAATAACAAGGAGTCCCAGTCCTGCCGGGATCAGGACTAAGGCCTTCTGGCCCAGCCTGACGGGCTCGGCGTCGCGCACTACAAATACGATGGTCAGTAACAAGTATTGAAAGAAGGAAACAATTTAAAATACTCACAAATCTTTCTTTCTGGCCTCTTCTTCCTCAGCAAGTTGTTTCTTCGTTTTTCTGGTGGGCATGATGGTATACTGGTGGTTTGGAATGGGTATTGGAAGGTATCGATGGGAAAGAGGTGGTATTGGAAGGTATCAATGGGAAAGAAGTGATGGGATCAAGGGTAAAGAGGTGAAACGGTAAGCAGCCCAAATTCAATCGAGGGTTTCTCGACTGTAGGCTACATGTGCTTATAGGAATGCCTGTATTGGGCTGTATTGCTGTGAAATTTAAAAAAAATAAATTTCATTTTATCAAGCTATTCTGGATCGACTGTATCTTTTGGTTTACAGCAATGATGATCATCTTCTGTTTACCACCAGCCAAATTATTCCCATAGCTGTTTACCATCAAAATTATAGATCTTCATCCTGATTTCTCTCTAAATAGTTCTTTGAATTTCGCGGCCCTCCCACCCTTTCTGCCCTGGTTATTTGTTATCATGTTTAAATTGTGTTTGGTTAGTGTTGTTTAGTTTCATAGCGTATTGTAAAAAAAAGGGGGGGAACAGTGTTGTGTTAAGTCTGGTCTTTCTTGTTTTCATTATTCATTAGGTTATTTTTATACAGCTGTTCCAACAAAGATTGATTTTTTTGGAAATCT